ACGCTCACTTGCCCAGCCTGGCACATGTTCTCTCCGTTCCCCTCGGCAGGGGACTTTAATGCTCTGGGCCTCGGCCTTGCACCTTGGGGCGGAGACGAGAGTTGCCACGGCTGGCAAGCAGAGCCCGCACCCGCTGGAGCTGCTGTCGACGCTCTCCCTCGTGGGTGTCATCAGCCTGCTGCTGGAGGAGTAGGGCTGGCTTTTTATTTCGGAGTCGAGGAGCCTGAGGTCTCAGGTCCTCTTGCACTGCATCCTGGATCCCTGGAGTGTATCTGGGGTTGTCTGGGTTTGCCGTCTTGCCGTGGGTACCTCCAGGAATCGTGCGTTGAAACTGGAGGGTCCCACGAGCAGTACCCACTTTTTGCTCGAAGCAGCTTGGAATCTCGGTTCAGGACGCTCCTCCAGCCTCTGGGGGCGCCCGTTTTCGGGCCTGGTGAGCTTTGTGCCGCCAGGGCCACTTCTGGCTCGGCCTCGGTGTGCAGTCGCAGCTCTTTTGCCTTTCGGCGTTCCCGCTGGACCCCTCCCCACGTGAAGCGACCGTCTGCCTTTAAGAGATCGCACTCGTCGCTCAGTGGAGCGGTCAAGCACACACTTTGGAGGGCCAAGCGGGTGCTTGCCTCAGGGTTTGCCAGCCTGGCGCGTGCTGTTCACAGTGCTGCCTCGTGCGAGGCGCATTTTTCGGGTTTGCCAACCCGTGCGAGGAATATCCTGTGCTCGTCGATTTGCAGCCGAGCAGTCCTGTCGAGTCCCACCAGCCCTTTAGGGCGTAGGTGGTTTAGGGAGTTTCCTCTGCCAACCCCCTTCTTCCCCTTCGGGGAGGGGTTTACCCCTCCCCTTGCCCCTCCCCACTGACCTGGACGGGGCGTTCCGCGGGTCGTTGGGACGGCCAAGATGGCCCAAGACATCTCCAAGAGCGAAAAGGCGAGAAACACACAAAACATTGATTTTACCTAGGTTTTGGAAGGATTTTGGCCTCTCGGGGGGGCCCAAGAGGCGACTCGAGGCACTCTAGAGGGGCAACGCTAATATACGACCCCCCCTTTTTTGATAGATCTCCTCCAAGATGGCCCCAAGAGCGCCCCGAAGGCTCCCAAGAGCGCCCCAAGAGCGCCCCAAGACGGCCCCACGAGGCCCCAAGAGGCCCCCAAGAAGCCTCCAAGAGGCTGCCAAGAGACCCCCAAGAGGCCCCAAGAGCCTCCCAAGATGGCCCAAGACGGCTCCAAGAGCGAAAAGGCGAGAAAGCAAAAAACATTGATTTTACATAGGTTTTGGAACGATTTTGGCCTCTTGGGGGGCCCAAGAGGCGACTCGAGGCACTCTAGAGGGGCAACGCTAATTGGGGACCCCCTCTTCTTTGATCGATCTCCTCCAAGATGGCCCCAAGAGCGCCCCGAAGGCTCCCAAGAGCGCCCCAAGAGCGCCCCAAGAGCGCTCCAAGAGGCCCCAAGAGGCGCCCAAGAGGCCTCCACAAGGCTCCCAAGAGACCCCCAAGAGGCCCAAGAGGCTCCCAAGACGGCCCAAGACGGCTCCAAGAGCGAAAAGGCGAGAAAACACAAAACATTGATTTTATTCAGGTTTTGGAAAGATTTTGGCCTCAAGAAGGGCCCAAGAAGCGATTCGAGGCACTCTAGAGGGGCAGCGCTAATTGGGGACCCCCCCTTCTTTGATAGATCTCCTCCAAGATGGCCCCAAGAGCGCCTCGAAGGCTCCCAAGAGCGCCCCAAGAGCGCCCCAAGAGGGCCCCAAGAGGCCCCAAGAGGCCCCCAAGAGGCCTCCAAGAGGCCCCCAAGAGACCCCCAAGAGGCCACAAGAGGCTCCCCGAGATACGCAAGAGGCCCCCGGGACCGCCAAGAGGCCCCAAAGAGGGCCCAAGAGGCCCCCAAGCTCGCCATTGTCCTCCTCCTCCTCTTCTTTTTCTTCCTCCTCCCTCCTCCCCCTCCCCCTCCTCCTCCTCCTCCTCCTCCTCCTCCTCCTCCTCCTCCTCCTTCCTCCTTTTCCTCCTTCTCGTCCTCGCAGTTCTCCATATCCTCCTCCTTATCTTCCTCCTCCTCCTCCTCCTGCTCCTCCTCCTGCTCCTCCTCCTGCTCCTCCTCTTCCTCCTCCTACTCCTACGACGACGGCTCCTCCTACATCCTCCCCCTCTTGGGGTATATGGCGGCTCACCCCGCCCTTTGTTCTTCTGCATGCTCCCCCGCTTCCCTCATAACCTCCACTCCCCTGGGACTCATTTCTGGACGGGCTGGTGGGGATGCGCGAAGCGTCTAGAATTTTTCAGCGGCCCCTCGGACCCTTCGGTGAGTTTCGTCGCCTCGGGCTCCCCTGAGGCCTCTGTTGGTCACGGCTCGGCCCTCCTGGACAGTCTTGAGATTTGCATCCACACGGTTAATTGCAACCGATGGTCGACCATGAAGGAGCTCATGGCCAAGACTCCTGCGCACATCATCTTATGCCAGGAGCACAGGTTGCGTGAGGATGAAGACCTCCCCCAAGCCTCGGCGTG